GTGTGCATTGTTCTATCTACAATCTGGCGGCATGCCGCTGCTCAATAGGCCACTCAGATGTTGTGTGCATGCGACTTAGGCATAGACAAAGTAAATATGGGGCGATGATACTTGACTTGAGTTTTGACACAGTTCGAAATCGTTTCGAATGTGCTCGAACACAACTGACACAGTCATTGGCATTCTTCTATTGTTTTTTTTCCAGTGTAAATGAGGCAAATAAATGTGCTTATCGATTATCTATTGAGGTATACGAATAGTGCAAGTACTTTGCCATCAAGAATATCAACTCGTACTTCGACTTATAGTGCTACCTAATGGTATATATAGTACATATATAATATACGTATATAATATATATATACATATATAATATATATATATATGCCTGCTTATCTATCTTGGATCAACAAGTGCCCTGAACTATTTATTTACCGTCTCCCTGTCTGAACCGAATCGAAGCGATTCACTATTATATTATATAGCTGCCATAGCAACGATCGGCAGCATGAAGAGTTCTAAGAGATAGGTGCAGACTATCTGAAGAATTTGAATCCCAAATTAATATCAAAACTTTCATATAAAGAATGCGTTTTTAATGAAATGCACAAAATGTATTCCATGCTCTTATTTTTTTAAATAAAAGCACATAACTTGGATATTTATTTTAATATATTAATATGATATTAATTTATATATATATGTATTTATATATATTAGTGGGTTTGCCGATCTGTTCATTTTAAATTGATAAAAATTGATACACAAGTAGCATGCATAGAAAACACCATTTTAATATAGACAACCCAAAAAAAATGAATAAAAATCCAAGTAAAATTGCTCCAGTCGAAAGACGTCGACTAGGAGATACCCTGGGCACACTCTGAAAAGTGTGTATGTATTTATGAATGTGTGTAGATGTGTGTAATTGTCAGGTTACTCAACTGATCTTGATTAAATTGCTGCAGACGAAGCATTTTATGATATTTCCCAAAATGTGTGCTTCAAATTGCTATTGGTAATCGATTTTTATCGATATTGGGAAATGATATACGAGCACTTGATGCTTGCAGATTCTTGCGAGATGAGATCGGCACGTTTATAAAGACAGTCAGACAGACAGACAAAGTGACGGACGGACATGGCTAAGTCAACTCGTCTGTTGCTGCTGATCATCAATGGTGTCGGAGCGGTTACCTGCTGTCCGTGACATCATATCCCATTTCGCCCAGTTGCAGGGTATACGAATGCGAATGCGTGCCGCTCCGAATGTTGGACCGATGCGTCAATTTGGACCGATGCGGTGCGGTGCGTGGGCTGCGCTGATAACCTCATCTGGAAAGTTGGCTCGCGAGATGCGCTATCAGTATCAGCAACAGTAACTGTAAAACGTCTCGGAAACAGCGATCGTTCACGTTGTTCCCACCTCCAAAATGCGCAATCTGCAAACTTGAACTTTCTCATTGCCAACTGATGGGTCTACGCGCCTGGCACCCCAATTTCTAAAAAAAAAAACGCATACAAATCAAATAAAATAGAACAAGCGAGAGCGTTGCAGTCGGGCGTAACCGACTACGAAATACTCTGATGCCATCTGAGTGATGACAGGTGCCAAAGAATGGGCTGGGTGTAGCCAAGAATCACCGATCTTTGAAACAGATTCCTAGTAATCTATTCTGCAAGTTTGGCTGTCAAATTGCGGTTGGTTGCAAAAGAAAAGTGTAGAAATGCCTTAGTAATCTTCGTTAGCTCTATTGCTATTGGGAATTCTTAGAGGAGGTTCCCAGCAATCTTCAAGCTTGCTAACTATAGCTCTTAAATTAGCAATATGCATTTGAAATTTGGTGACTCCAGCTTTTAAATTGTCTTATCGATCTACACTAAAACGTGTATCGGTTTCTTATCGATCTCTTACACATTATCAAACTTTTGTGACTCTGGCTTACAAATTGTTGAAGCTGTGTGCATTTCAGATTGCTAGGCGTGGTCTTTGAAGGCGGCAAGTTACCAGCAAGTTACCTTGCAGGTTTGGTAACTCTAACTTTGAAATTGTGGCAGATATGCGGATTTATCGATATTCAGTTATCGATTTTTATCGATTTCATGGCCCAACTTTGTTGCGAGTTTCCTATATACTCTGATTACTTTGTTATCAGCGTATACAAACACACACACACACACACACCCAGACATAGACATAGACATACCTACGTCACGAGAGGTTCTCTATCTATGCAAGTGTAATAATTCTAGTTGAGCGTCGCGCTTGCTTCAGCCTCAGCAAAGTCCAATGGAAACTAGACGGCAACCAGACTAAAATAATCATGAAATATGCAAAAATAGCTAGTGTCAAGCAAACTGTTGACCGATAATAAATACTACCTGAATTGATGCCACAAATATTCCCACGTGGTTGCTGCTACTTATGTATGTGTTTGTGTTTGTGTGTGTGTGTGTGTGTGTGTGTGTGTGTGTGTGTGTGTGTGTGTGCTGCACAGTGTTGGATAACTGAGTAGAAAAGGGGATAATTGATTTGCGATAAATATGCAGCAGAAACTGCTTGAAACTGCTTTCCAATTCGTCAATTCGTCAGTTCGTCAATTGTCTCATTCCGGCTTTGTACTTTGGCATAGATGACGTAATTTGTTGTTGTCGTTGTGCGTGGCGAAATGGGAAATTTCATTCAGTCATTAACAAGAAAGAAGACAACAACAACGACAACAACAACGACAACAACAACGACAACATTAACAACAATTACAATCAAAACAATACACAAAATAATTGGATGAGGCGTGCAATCTTTGAAATGCATCTTCATCTTTACACCTCCCCCCATCAACCCAACCCATGGCACCGTTGCTTGTACACCGAAAAAAACAGCATCAAGGTTAACAGTAAATCATACACACACACACACACACAGAGAGGCAGTTGCAGGCACAGGTTATCTGTTTGAGTGTTTTAAATAATGTTCTTTCTTTGATATATATATGAATATATATTTGATCTTGAGGTATGTATTAAATGGATTATTGACTGCAGTGGACAAATCAACAAATCGTAAGATTGACCTTGAAATTGAATGTAATCAAAACAAATTCACACACATTCAAGAGAAACATTCATGAATTTGAAAAGTATTCGTGTAGAGGAAAAACTGAATCATTTAACTAATGGATTAACATCATTAACAGTCGAAGTATCTCATTGCATATTATTATTGTTATTAAAGAGCTTGGAAGTTGTGCATACTAGAACACATATAGGTATATACATATATACATGCATACTGGTACGATCCGGATAACAAACAGAATAAATTCAAGTGATTTATTTATTTATTTCGTTGGGTTTCCAAGGAATTACATTACAGAATAATTTATTTTGATTACCAAATGACATCTATGTATGTATATATATAGTATATATGGTATATATATATATATGTGTGTGTGTATGGTACATATGTACTTGAGTATCTTATCAATCGCTAATTGTTTCTTTTAAGGCACCTTTCGAACTGTTATCTAGGGATAGGGATTAGACCGATTGCAATTTTGTTGTAACTGAAGAAAATGCGACTGAAATTGTGGATTATCGGCCAGGTGTGGTTCAAGGCAAGTACCACGAGGCATTAGCTAATATTAGCTGATACTCAAATCAAGTTATAGAAACTACAAATGGAGGACTCAATCAAAGAAACTTACAACTTAGCCGTGCCTCTCTTCTATAGATATATATATATCTATATCTATAACTATATCTATTTCTATTTCTATTTCTATTTCTTTATCTATGTATCTATATCTATATCTATATCTATATCTATATCTATATCTATGTATCTATATCTATATCTATATCTATATCTATATCTATATCTATATCTATATCTATATCTATATCTATATCTATATCTATATCTATATCTATATCTATATCTATATCTATATCTATATCTATATCTATATCTATATCTATATCTATATCTATATCTATATCTATAACTATATCTATATCTATTTCTATTTCTATTTCTTTATCTATGTATCTATATCTATATCTATATCTATATCTATATCTATATCTATATCTATATCTATATCTATATCTATATCTATATCTATATCTATATCTATATCTATATCTATATCTATATCTATATCTATATCTATATCTATATCTATATCTATATCTATATCTATATCTATATCTATATCTATATCTATATCTATATCTATATCTATATCTATATCTATATCTATATCTATATCTATATCTATATCTATATCTATATCTATATCTATATCTATATCTATATCTATATCTACATCTATATCTACATCTACATCTATATCTATAATTAAATCTATATCTATATATATACTGCGCATTTATCAAGTTCCGGTTAGTTCTCTCTCTACATACATATGTATATATATATATATATATAGCCTCAACATCATGTACATCTCCAATTTCCATCGAATGCTGGCGATTATCAATTATCAAAATATGTAGGACTGTAGATGCCCATCTACATATATTTATTGGCGCCATGGCTACACACAGGTTTTAAGACATGCGGTTATTAGAGACTAGACTTCAGTCGTAGTATGCCCGGGATGGGGGAGATGCTCGCAATGCAAGGGGAGCGACCACTCGACGATTATTTTATTTTTATGAGATAGATTAATTTGCAAGCATTATGATTAAAAACGCAACAGTTCAAATCAAGAGGTACTCATTATATGCACACAAACACACACTTACCAATATATATATATATATATATATATATATATATATATATATATATATATATGTGTATATATCTGTGTGTTGCCTAGGGCGTGTCGTCGCGGACACGAAGTGTTTCATTTTTTTTATTCTTGCTTGCTTTTTGTCGTTTGATAACGCAGTCGTCAAAAGTCGATAATCAGACTTATATTTAGAGGAGTCGCCAGGCGGGGCCACAGTTTTCCATGCGACGCAGCCCAACACAGCTAGACTGACCCAAAGCGCATCCCGCATCTCGCAGATACATTTGCCAAAGAGGATTCAGTTCGAACTCAACAGGACCTTGCAGGACCTTTTGTGCGAATCCAAGCAAACTAAAAACACACAGAATATATATATATATATATATATATAATATAAGAAGCGGAGCAAGCATGAAGCTGGAGAGCATCAGTGGTCCGCCCAAGTATCTCAACGAGAACTTCTTCAAGGCGGCCCTCGAGGATGGATTGCGTGATATGCGCGTCGATATCAAGAAAATCATATTTGCCGACTCCAGCGGCGGTGGCGGTGAGAATTATTGCAGCAAGATCTATCGGGCTCGGGCCCTGTATCGGAGCAGCAAGCGTCAGCTGGATGAGGAGCTGGCATTGATTGTGAAGAGCATCGCCATCACACCGGCCACACAATTTCTGGAGGAGCTGGCCGTCTATTTGCGTGAGAAGATCTTCTATTTTGATGTCCTTGGCAAGCTGGAGGTGCTCATTGGCGATGGCTCCAAGTTTGGTGCCAAGTGCTTCTACACAACGCGTGAGCCCATCCAGACAATCGTATTCGATGACCTAACCCAATACGGCTACAAGCTGGCCAATCGCCAGAGCGGTCTCAACGAGGAGCACTGCGTCGTCATCCTGCAGAAGTTGGGCAAATTTCATGCCAGCTCCATGCTGCTCGCCCAGAAGGTAAGTGGCAATTCGTCCTCGAATCGTCTTCTCATCTCTTAATTAAGATTTTGAGTGTGATTAAATGTGAAGTGCAAAGCAATCAATTTGAATGACATACATTAATTGGTTGGCAGCTTAGTTTGGCTTTGATTTGTATTTAATCTTCATTTTGGAAATGTCTTTCCTACTTTATAATTTTAATGATAATTATTATATATTATGTGTGTGTGCTTCTAACAGGAGCCCAGTGTGCGGGAGCACTTCACCAGCGGCATGCTGGACGAGAACTATATAAGGACCAATGAGAGATTCATCAACTTTATGACGCTCCAGCTGCGCACGCTGGCCAGCGTCGTGGAGAAGTGGCGTGGCTATGAGAAGCTGGCGGATAAGCTGCATCGTCATTGTGACAATATCAAGGAGAATCTGGTGCTAACCGGTCGGCCGACACCGGGTGAAATAACGGTGCTCAATCATGGCGATCTGTGGGTCAATAATTTCATGTACAAATACGACGACGAGCAGCCCACCAAACCCATCGATGCCATCTTCGTGAGTGGCACACTTTTTGCAATTCCATTCATTCCATCATTGCCAATTGCAAATTGCAAATGATTTTTGTTTTTCTGGTCCACAGGTGGACTTTCAGAACAGTTTCTTTGGCAGTCCCGGCTGCGATATCAACTTCTTTCTGAACAGCAGCGTACAGCTGGACGTGCTGATCCATCGGCGAGAGTTCCTCATCCGGACGTACTACGATTCGCTGCGCGACAGCTTGGAGCGGATGCATTCGGAAGTTGTGCCGAGCTATGCGGATGTTCAGCACGAGATAAGGTCACGTGAATTGTATGGCTTCTTCTCGTCGTATGCGTTCCTGCCGATGGTGACGATGCGCAAAGAGGACTCGTATGATATAAGCATTGAGGCACTTACCGACCAGGATTTCGCCAAGAAGAAGGTGCAGCTGATGTTCTCATCGAATCCACGCACCACGGATACCCTGCACTATGCACTGCGACGGTTCGATGAGCTCGGCATCTTTGATGATTGATGCTGATGTTGATGCTGCTTAATTTATATTTATAACTTGCATGCTTGGTTATCTATATTTTTTTTAACCTGTCGTCCGGCTAAGATATATATGTTGATTTTTTTTTTATTTAACAAAAAATTTACAGAATTTTTTTTTTTTTTTGTGTATTTAATTTAAGCGCATTTGTTTATTTTATTTTCTGATATTTATATATATATGTGTTAAATATATAAATGTATATATGAAATGTCTATTTCTATGCAAGCAGTCGACTTTTTAATTGGCCCACTCAAAACTCCCACGTCGACAGCCACTTGAGGCTGTGCATCGTCGAATTGGGCTCATTGGCCAGCGGACCATTCATGCCGTAGGCCAGCGGCGAGAAGACCACAAAGCTATACACAATCGTCGACAGCACTGAGCCGAGGAGCACATGTTGCAGCCACTTTGGCAGCGATCGTATAATATAGTTGAACATAATGCCTGCAAATGAAATAATTATGGGATGCAAGATATATCACTGATATATATTTAATAGTTTAATTACAATAAACTATAAATGAGAGAGACAGAGATAGAGAGAGAGAGACAGAGAGAGAGAGAGAGACACAACTCTGTTGGAAACTTACCCGTCAGCAATGAGTTGAATATCAGTGCCGGAAAGTAGTGATGAAAGTAGAGCACGCGACCCATTGCCCAGAAGGGCAAATAGTGCAGCAACCAGCCGATGAAAAGCCAAGCAGCTGCCTGCAAGGACATGTCAGGATTCGGCTTAGATTCGAGCGTATTTTCAGTTGGTTTCATTGCCGGACAACAGCTGCACAGCTCAGTTGTTGTTGATTCGGTGGACAGTTGCTCTGCCGTGGCACCTCCAGTGGGTCTTTGGGCAGCGAGGCCAGCACGACGGTGCTGCAGGATGGCATTGCATAGGTAGACGGCGATGAAGAGCAGCAGAAAGACGAGGTTGCTCCACCAGATGACGGGGTTTCCAAGCAAATAAATGCGATAGCTGCTGCCCGAAAAGAATTGACCCTGCAAATAGGGAAGACAAGAGCAGTAAGTAATTATTTTATATAGATGCAGCATCCGAGCGATGCATGCTATGAGCTACAAAGACACAGACAGCTGGGGTTGATGGAGGAGCTATAGGCGCGGAAGGCACAATAGATCTAGTAGATCGCAGTGCAGATATTCCAATAATAATAATAATATGTGCATATCAATAGGTTGACTGGAAAAAACAATATATATGTATATATATATATATATATTTGTGTGAATACAAAATTGAAATTAAAGAAAATTTATTACTTGGAATTTGTACTTTTTCCTTTCTGAAAATGGTGTAGACAATTTTAGAATACTTTTCTTTTTGCATGACTCACCCCAAGGTCAGGCCTTAAGCACATTCAAATACAGGGTATCTGCTAGTTGCTTTCAATTGGACTTACCCGATAGTTAATTGGCCATTGCCATGGTCGGCTTGTGATCTCGCCCTCTTTGGGCTTGAGGCCGGCGTTGCCCTGCAACATGACCGCATGGGATTCCAGGAAGCGCGCAAAGAAGCCCGGCGCATAGATGCTGAAGCTAACACTGGGCACTGCACAAAATGGGTAAGTGTAGGTAGAAGAAGAAGAAGAAGAAGATTGAGATGATTTGGGGGAGGGGCATGTCAAGTTATGGATTTGGCTGCTTTTTTGTTTAGCTTACGTTGCTTGTGCTGATTGTCCTCCACATTCCAGTGGGCATTCTTGTCGCGTATGTTGAGATTGCAGGAGACCTCCTGCTGCTCGAAGCCCCACTTGGGCAGCTGTTTGCCGCTGGACGTGAGCGCACAGTTCTGCAGATAGTGCACGAACATCAGACGCGAGGTCACCGTGTGAATTGTGTCATTCGCACGACCGCCCACAATGAGTACGCGCCACACATCGTTGGCATCGCCCACGCCCAGCTATGCAACAACCAAAAAGATATCACATAAGTTAACCACGACTTGCATGACTCGTTGATAAGCGTGAAAGTAAGTAAGTATTACTCACCTCGCCATATCCGGTGACCTGCAGATGCTTCTTAGTCATTGGCGCCGGTTCGCTGTGCGAGTGCAGATTCCGCTTGGTCACCAAATGCTCGAGTCTCAGCAGATCTCCGTGTCGCAGCAGCCGCAGCTCATCCTTGGCCAACTGTTGCTTGTTGTACGGTTTGATCTGCCAGATGTTATTGTCATCCTTGTGCGTATACGTGGTGATCTGGAAGGCGAAAAGTATTCTTTAGGCATTCCACATGAACTCAAATCAGTTGGGTTTGCTTGGACTCACCTGCTGCTGTCGGGCGCCACTGCCCTTGGGATAGAGATGGGCATGCGAGTGGAGGTAGCCGCCACCGGTCTTGTGATTCTTAATGGTTACCAGTGCGCCATAGGCCACATCTCTGGGCATGCTCGCATTGTACAGCGAATTGCCGATGAGTCGTGACTGAAACGCCGAGCTGTAGAAGCCATCGCCATTCCCACTGCGATTCAGCACGCTCAGATGTATGTAGAAGAAGAATGTGTAGAGCACAATTGGCCAGAGGATGAGCGCGAGGGCGCGACACGCAATCTGTTTGAGGGTCTCCGCAATTGGTTTGCTCAGATCACCCAATATGAGCCAGAGCTCGCTGGCGGTGTGCAGACCCACCAGCAACACCACAAACAGACCCACAAACTTCACGCTTGTCGTGCAGGAGAGCATGGTGCCGGTGAGCAGCAGCCAGAGCCACCAGCGTGCCGTATACGAGCCACCAGCTGTGGTGCATTTGGATATCTTGACCATGCCCCACACCGAGCCCATCATGAAGAACAAGAGTATCGGATCGAGTAGTATGTACTGATTAAGTGTCAGCATGCCCACATCTGCAAGAGTAATGCACCATTTAGATAAGATTTATCTTTCAGCTATTAGCACTGTCCACTTGCCAAAGATTAGATAGGCGGCTGAGAGCACTGCTGCCTCGTGGGAGCGTGTCAGATCGTAGACGGTGTCGAAACCCATCGGCATTATCAGTGCCCCCAGCGTTGTGCAGAACTGGATGCAGAAAGGATGATTTCGTTTAACAGATGGTCTCTCAATATATTCAAATATATTCAAATGTACTCACATAGCGCATTCCCTGGTAGCGTGTCTCGTTGTATTTGTCACCCGGTTTCTCAAACGGAAAGGTGCCATTGTAGCCCGTCAAATAGCCCGATAAGCCAATTAACATCTGAGCGAGACAGAGTATGTGTGCGTGAGAGAGAGAGAGAGAGAGAGAGAGAGAGAGAGAGAAAGAGAGAGAGAGAGAGATAAGAGTGAGTCAAAGAATTAGTTAAAAATTAATTTATTACTTTCGGAGTGAGTTCTCACAGTGCTTGATCATTTTTGACAAGCATTTAGTATATATTATATAAAAACTTTGTATATATTATATACAAAACACTTTAACTTTGATATTATCAAGAAAATATTCTTGAACTGCAAGGCGTATCTAATCGAACAGCAAGAATGGATTCTTGGCTTAAATCAATTCATTCTAGATTGAAAAATCTACAGTCTTTAACTATATCAACATCTATAACTGTAGGAATTTTTGTCAGTGTACCCACCTTGCCCAGCGGTGGATGTACATCGAAGAAGAAGGTGCGATTTATATACCAGCTGCCCATTTTGCCAAAGTGCGTCTCATCCCAGCTACAAGAAATAGAAGCGGACAGATTCTTATTGGAAACGATTCAAATCGTAGTCGTACTTACCAAATGTGATCCGGTTCGGTTACCTTATAGTAGCGAGTGGCAAAGGTGATGAGAAAAACGGCCAACAGCAGCACCCACCAGCGCCTGCAGTTCCAAATATTTATTTATCAAGTTTGTTGCCTCAGTCTTTTGATTTGGGTGCTTTCTTACCACTTGGCAGCATTGTCACTTATCTGTGCTGGCTGCGTCTTGGCCAACTCTTTGGGCTTTCTCGCACAATTGGGTGTCTTAACAACACTTGCTGCCATTGTTTTGAAGTCCAAGCAAATAAAATGTTTCGGTAAAAATCTTTTACATTTTAACTGTTGCACACGTCAACAAAGTCAGAGGCGGGAACCGAGAATAAAGTTAAGTTCGCGTCCAGCTCAGAATGCTTTCTCTTCTGGCATTCTTTCATTCCCCAACAATCATAACATGAACAAAAAAAAACCGGTCTTTGCGTCTTGGCCAACTTGCAAGCAGCTGATTTGCGCACTCTGCAAGCTTACCTGCCCAATTGTTATCGATAGCACGCATGCCAATCGATCGCTTGCCACTCCAAAACTGTATAATTTGATATAAATATTACAATAATAACAACAACAACCAGCAATTAAAAATTATAATTGGTAATAAATACATTAAAAGCAAGGAAATATCATTGCATACTTTCAGGCTGATGTTCGCATTTATAAAAATGTGGCATACTTTTAGGCAGCATCTGCAAATTGATTTACCCGCATTTTTCTATATATACCAACCAACAGTAGTGGTCAACATCATATTTGTTACTTTTTGTTGTCTTGTATTGCATTTCGAAACATGGACTTAGTCTTAAATATTATCGAGAGTCTTGGCTGCCATTTGAAACAACAACAAACGGTTCCTCCGATTAGTCAATGGCCAATTCAAATGTTCCTTGGCCAACAGGTCTTGATTCTTTTCGAGACACACTCGCCTTTTTTTTACGAGACACACTCGCCTTTTTTTTACAAAAAATGAAGATGAATTAAGATGATATATGTGGAACATAGAATATTATGGGTAAATAGGTACACAATTGCTTTGTCTGCCTTCGTATCAGTTAAGGGTATATCTAGGTGGACTAGCGTATAAGGAACTACAACTTGGCTCCAAATATGAGTATGTACCTGTGTATATAGGTATGCATAATGAATTATTAGCCCAAGTGGAACGTGGATCGTGCGATCATTTGTCTCCGCTGAGTTTGATCGCCCCCACTGGCCAAATGAGGCGCATTTATAATGAAAATTGCAGCACTTTCAGTCCCTCTTCTAGCCTTGTGGCCCCAAAGACCGCTGAAAGATGCCCAAGATGCTGGCCAAGTCTTATGTACATTTAACACTTGTAAATGGCCAACAATCATTTGAGCCGCTTACAGCCAGCCAGCCAGCTAGCCAGTCAACCAACTCTGTTTGCTACACTACAAAAAAAGAGGAGAAAAAATAGCTTTAAATGAAATGATATTGCTGAAAAGCAGAATTTATTTTCTAATAACATCTACGTTGTAGATGCAAATTTCTTAAATGGTACAAGTGTTGAAACATATATTCGTATTTGGTGATAACAGATTGGGATTTGGAAATCGATAACATCGATAAGTGACAATCGATAAAATCACATAAATGCCGTCATTTTACTCATCAAATTTTTAAGGTAGATTGTTGAGGATGCCTTTCAAGATGGGCACACCAATCTTTTGCCCCCAGCTACATACTTCTATATCTCCTTCAACTAAGATTAGACCTACATTTTTCATCATATTTGTAAATATTCAGAATATGTTTTATTGGAATTTAGAAATGGTATTAGTGATTCTTAGAATACCCTAGACTTAATACAAACATTAAGCTTAGAAATGATATCACTCGTTCTTAGCAACTTTCTCTATTCTAGAATATTCAATGGTTTTTTTTAGTGTATGCCGCTGTCTGTGCGGTTCCGTTTGTCTTTTGGGGCACGTTCTTTTGTTCTTCAGCCAGGCAGGCAACTAAAAACAACAGCAACAACAACAAGAACAACAGCAGCAACAACAAAAACAACAAGAACAACAACAACAGCAGCACAATGTTGATGAAGATAAAGCTTCAGCCGGCTGGGCTTGACTGGGTTTCGGTTTCGGTTTCGCTGCTGTGGCTCTCGCTCTGGCACTGGCTGCGTCAAGGGGGCAGCAAGTGGCAGCCGTGGCAGTGGCACAGACCCTGGGCTCAGTTTTTTAGCTGGGGCAGCGCGGCTTTAATCGCTTTGATCTTGGCGCACAAGAGTTAATTGCACGCTTGCTGAACAGTGGCTGCTCTTGTTGTTGTTGTTGTTGTTGTTCGTGCTGTTGCACCGGCAGCGTGGCAATTTGTAAGATAGAAACGTTGCCAGGCACGCCGTGTGGCAGCTTCAATCAAATTAATTGCGCTCGCTCCTGCTGCTGTTGCAGTTGCAGTTGCTGCTGCTGCTTCAGTTCGTGTTTTGTGTGTTTTGTGTGTGACACTTGCAGGGTGGTTGTATGTTGCACACACACACACACACACACACAAGGGGACAGGCGGCAACAAAATTGTTGTAATCAACTTGAGAGCCCATCATTAAACTTATTTCTAATTGCCCATCTGCGTTCCCCGAATCCCTCGCGCCAAAAACAAAAAATAAACTTGAGGCAACAAAAAACAGTAGCAACCATTACCTCTTCTTCTACTTCTTCTTCTTCTGGCTGACTTCCTTTGTTGCCATCCTTGGTCGAGTACGAGCGCAATTAAAAACAAAACTTTACAGATCCTATTTTATGCGGCACTTTTCATCATCGTCAATCTGGATTCGGGCTTTCATTTTAAAGAAATTCCATCTTGCCCGAAAGTTATTCCCATCATTATTGCAAAAGGGAATACAATTTTTTTGTGCAAAGTTATTTTTGGGATGAATTTCTTCTTATTGCAAATGGCAATTATATTTGAAGAATACGTTGCCGACTCCGTAAAGTATATATATATTCTTGATCGATACCACTAGTCTAGTCTCTAAAGCGATTTGCCTGCCTGTCTCTCAGTTTGAAAGAAACATTGATATTATTTGAAATAGCAGATTGGACTATAATATGATATAGCTGGCATACGTACAATCGGCCGAGAGTCACTAATTTATCACTAATTAATGATCAGTTCGACTCCAGTCGACATGCGTATATAATCGTCCACCTGTCTAAGATACTTGATATATATATATATCTGATTTAGGTTTTAATAACCTTGATGGTATTTAATTGAAGGAGACGTCTCGCCTCATGAAGCATATATATTCTTGATCGGCATCAAGAGGACATCAAAATTAAAACTGGACTAAATCGTTTCAAGTAAAAATCAGCAAAAATTTATAATTTAAATAGGTTTATATTTATTTTGTTTTCAACTCATGTACAACTAATTATCATCGTAATAATATAATAATAAAATATATATATATATAAAAAAAAACTATTTACATGTACATATACACTTAGCGAAACTATTCAAATTTAAAGCTATTAACACATTTCATTTAGGGCCCTACGGTCTAGAAAAAAAACATATATTCATAGATCAGTACAATATATATAATTATATAAATATATATATACATATGCATATGCATATGGTTGGTTTTGTTGTTGTACCGGCCAGCGAATACCCTGTACGCAAAACAAGGCTGAGATCCGGCGGGGAGCTGAGTCGATGTTTAAACCCGCGACTGATTCGGATTGTAGACGGGCACATTGTGAAAACTGATGCCGGCGTAGAGTGGCGCTGTGGCATGTGGGCCAGCAGCTAGCATTGACTTGCCACTCGCGTACAGATGCTTCTTGGGCGGCAGGGCAGCAGCCGATCCAACGACGACAACTGCTCCGACACCACCGCCACCACCAGTTGCGGCACCAACTGTTGCCGATTTATGGGGCATCATCAGGGATGAGCTGGGCGTGCCAGCAACCAAACGACTGCGATAGCTCTCACACGTTTTGCGCGACCACACCCACATGCCGGTCAGTGTGCCGCCCGCCAATTGAAAGAAGATCCGCACCAGGGCCGGCCAGGCGCTCAATTGTGCCGGCTGGGGGCAATCCTCAAGCGTGGAGCAACTGCTCACCACATCGACGAAACGCTCAAAGAAGGCGGCCAACACACCAGACGCCGTCGGCACAAAGAACAGCAGCGAGAAGACAACGAATCGCTTCCGTATCTGGGCGAAACGCTGATGCGCCAACGTTGGCTGCAACTGTTGCTGCAACGTGTGCAACGAGCGTGAGGCACGCAGCGTAAAATACAGGCCCAGCAGCAGCAGGGCCAGCGCTGGCAGCTCAACAAATCCGGTCGCTGTGCACATGCCGGTCAGCTCGCTGGGACGCACACGCTCCAGCAGCAGGGCGGCAATGGGCGGCGCCAGCGGTGGCACCCAAGCCAGCACATGAAACAAACCGGAGCGTTTCTCCAGCGCCTCACTCGACCATTTCTTGTGCGAGGACAGATAGAAGCAGAGGGCAAAGATTAGCCACCAGCTGGCCGCGCACAAGCTCAAATACGATGTGCTTATGTAGGAGGCCAAACAGGGTGGCGTCAATGAGCATGCGGCTCCAAGCCGACCCACGCCACGACCCGGCTCCTGCAGCAGCGCCAAACTGCGCGCCTGATGGAAGACGATGCGCTCCAAATAGCAAACGCTAAACAGATTATAGCACAGGCACAGGAAGAGCACGGGCCGCTCCGGATAGCCGAAACGTGTCGGCTCCGCCCAGAAGGTGACCAGGGCGAAGAGTGTGAGCACAAAGCAGACGGCCGACATGCCCAGGATCAGGCTCTCCGTCAGCTTCTTCTGCTGCGTCGTGTGGAATGCATCGCGCTGGCACTGTGGCAAACAGTCCTCGGCATTCAGTGGACTTGCACTAAAGTTCTGCGGACAGATGTGTCCACCGATGCCCAGGCCGGCAGCAGCACCAACACCTCCACCACCAGCAGCGGCAGCGGCTGCAGCGCTCTCCGAGGATTTGCCCATCTGCGAGGACATCTTCCTGGCCATCCAGGACCAATACATTTGTTGCTGCTGCGGCGGCTCTGCTGCTCCTGCTCCGGCTCCGGTTCCGGCTCCTGCCGTAGCCTCTGCTGTTGATGGCTGCTGAGAGCTGCCTCCCTCGGCTGCTGCTGCTGCTGCGGCTGTGTTCTCTGCTGCCTCCGTCGCCGTCGCCTCCTGTGGTATCTGCATGCACAGCTCATGATTCTCCGGCTGCGGCAGCGATTCACAGCTGAGAAACGGCGGCCACAGCTGCATTAATTCAGGCGCCGCATTTACCGCACACTCCCCCTGCACCGTCTCGCAGAGGGACTTGCAGGCGGTCACCGGTCGCGGCACATCCGGACTGCAGAGCGGAAACAGCGCCGAGCAGAGCAGGAAACGTGCTCGCCTCGAGCAGCCCGACTCGATCAGTGGCAACAGTTTTGCAATCTGCGCAGAGAATGAGAGAGAGAAAGAGAGAATAGAATCGTTTATCATTGATTGAAGCAACAAGATCTTTGTGTATTTACAGGTGCAGATAGTGGGCAAAAGTACAATCTTAAATCAGGCATATATTCCTCAAATCAAATTGTATTCAAATAAATTATGAAATATTATTAAGACTCGATTTAAGCAAGTAATATCCATGGAGAAGAATAGGCGTTGTGGACTAAGCAAGTCACCCAACCAAACTTGGTATTTATAGTAGCGAACTCGCCTTGATTAGAAGATGATGCAGCATTCCAGGAAGCCCTCAACCCAATAAAGGTTCTCGCAGCTGGGGTTGATGGAGGAGCTATAGGCTCAGAGGGAGGCATAATAGATCTAGTAGATCCCAGTGCAGATATTCCAAGAGAATATATCCCAAGAGAGTATAGAGTATATATAGAGTATACAATATGAACTATAGACCATAGATCATATAGTATAGTGATACCTATCGAAACATGCAATCGGCAAAGATTTTACCTTTTATCAATTATGGCGAGGCGTGTGCAGGTGAGTATTCTATCTATTATCTATTATCTATTATCTTTATCTGTTATTGTATCGTCGCCTGTGGGGCAAACTTGAAAGTAAGCCGCCAAATAATTAGATCGAAATGCGTTGTTCGATAAGTAAGTGAAAAAAATACAGCGAAACACAAAAAACAGAAAAAAAGACGGCAAATATTTGTGTAAAGTTAAACAGCAAACAGAGCAGCAAAGAATAGAGTTGAATAGTCGAGAAAAAAAGGCGCAGAAACACAAACAAAAACAATAACAAAAACAAAAACAAAATTTAAACAATAAAATTGACGGCGTTCCCATTCACACCTAACTTGGCTGACTGACTAACTTGGCCGGCATCGGCGCCGTCGGCTTTATTAATTGTTGTTGCTGTTGCTGTTGTTCTTCTTCTTCTTCTTCATTGATGTCTATAATTTTATCTAATAAAAATGCAATAAAAATGTAGTCAAATGTAGTCGAGCCTTATGCGTTTATCTCTTTGTTCTTTCGCCGCCAAACACTTGCCACTAGCCAACAACAACAACAGCAACCACAACAACAACCACAACAATAACAACAATTGACAAATGTTTACACTATGAAAACAACTGGCAACAATCGCGAAAAAACATATCTAATTGCATTTGTTTACAACCAATTGAATGAGTCTTTCTCTATTTATTCTTGGTATCTAGCAGTTCTACTAGTTAAATTTCTATTATTTATACAAATATATATTTATATATATATATATATATGTATATGTTATCATCAAAGCTGTGAATGAATACATTAATTCATTGGAACTCGAGCAACTCTACATACAAACATATTTAGCTGGAAAAACAAACTAAGTGCAGCAAATACTGAAAATAATTGAAAAACAAACCCATTTTCAATTTATTCTGGTAATTATTGGTGCCCATTTGAAAAATCTCACAAGAATTTCTAAGAATTCCAGGCAAAACATTGCAAAAATAAACCGATTTTGAACATCAAAGATGTGTTTGAATATAACTACAGAAATGTTGATTGTTCAGTCAGCAGCCAGCAACATCACAGAAAACAATTAAATCAAATTCATCTCAATCATGCACAAACATTGAAATATTTCCTCATTCTTAATTGCCAATTGCCAATTCTATTAGAAGACAATCAGCAGATATTACAACTGAGTTTATCCAGTGGTTTGTCAGTCTAGGTCAGTTTAAGTAACTTTGAGATCAGCAGAGCTCAAGCCATGTTTGCCACATTGTGCTAATCTCGTCTACAACCTGAGATACATTTTTGCCTGTATAACAATTAGCACATGCAATATCTTTTCGAGTTACATTCGAGTTTATTTTTGAAGACTTATTTGAAGTCTTGTTTTATGTAAAGAGCTCGAACCACTTTAGCGTGTTGTCAGAAAGCATTAACATGAACGGTGACAGCAATATGAGAAAAGCATTACTCTTTTTAGTTGGTTACTTTGGTTAGTTGGGTGATAAGTGCAAGTGTTTGACTCGGGAAAAAAAGGGGATCGATACACGCTAAAAATCGCATATATATTTTGACAGCTGTCGGTGCATTTAATGTGAGCAGCGAGCATTGTTTGACTTTTTATTTACACGACGTGACAATGTTGTTTTGTGTGAAAACTGGCGACTGACTTCACACATGAGGTGGCCAGCTCCAAAATTGGTAGTGCAGCAGTCGAAACCGATATGGGTATGGCATTTGGCCAACTCTCGACTATTGATTGTTGTTCAGTGTTGAGTGCAATTAGTGGCTAATTACACGCAATGCGGGAAAGCAGTTGAAGCAGTTGCTGTTATTGCTGCTCTTAATTGCTCGCTCGCCGGAAAGAACTTCAATCGAAACATCACCGCAACAAAATTATGATACACAAGTTGTTGAAAAAAAGATAAAGCTTCCCCCAGACATGTTCGTCCAATGCTGACGATGGCGATGACGATGACGAACCTTGAGTTCCTTTTGACAGACAAATACAAATACAACAACAAAAAAGGCCAACATAAACATTTATGAGTTTGCGGAATTTTTGCGACTAGAGGCTCAAAGAAGGGTTGCCAATTGGCTTATGGCTTTTGGCCTTAAACCAAATAAAGGAAGGATATACGACAAAAAAACGAAAAGAAAAGAAAAATGAAAAAAGGAAAAAGAAGAGAAACGAAAAGAAAGAAGACTGCTTTAAATTAGTGAGCCGTTTTCTCAGGAAAGAGCCTGCTCGCATTGGGACTCCCAGAGCGGAACTTTGACATGCATTTGATGGACAGAAATGCGGACCCAAGACCGAGTCCAACGCCAACTCCAACTCTGACATCGATTCCCCACTTTACGAGCCCAAGAGTTACCAGTTTTTGGGCTTAGTTCAGTTTCAGTTTTTGTTGCTGTTTCTGTTTCATATTCAGCTGCCACTTTGTCTTTGGGCTTGCTCGCTTGTCTTGGCTAACAGTAAGCGTAGTCTTATTGTTGTTGTTGTTGCTGTTGTTGTTGTAGGTATATATAATTAAGGTACATTAGGGCAGTCGAAAGCCAACACACAAACGCCGTTGGGTATTTGGAACGGCGCATTAGGCACGCAATTTCCAATTTGAAATACTCTGCCTGAAAATCATTTTGATGAAACAGTCATTCAACTCTGACTGCATCTGCTCTAATTGATTAAGGGCTTTATAAATCAAATAAATTTGAAAATAAAATATATAAAAAAAGGGTTTTAATTAGTATAAGGGTTTTAATTAGTATAAGCTACACTTTTTGCTCATCTTTTATATATCTTAAGAGACAACAAAATTAGTTGTGAAAAAAGCAAAATAACAAAAAATATCGATGCTTTTTTAGCAAACCTTTTATATAATAATAATAGTATATATATATATATAATAATAAAAATATATATTATATAAAAATAGCATCTTTTAATTATAAGAATGGGTCACCAAACAATAAGCAAGTTAAAATATTTAGTAAAGAGTATCTGAGAGTCGATGAAATGATGTGAACGATGCTTGTTTTATTACCTTTGAGGCACCCGCCTGCGAACTATTGTAGAGACGATAGCTAGCTGTGTATCTATCTCTATCTAGCTTACATTTGCGCGCTCTCTCTCTCTCTCTCTCGCTCTTGCTCTGTTTCTTAGGTAGTGTGTGTCTATTATGGCCACAGGCAATAATAATTTAATGATGCTGCAGCCAGGCTTCAACAATGGCAACAAGTGTCAAGGCTCGTCATCATCAACATCATCATCAACATCATCATCATCATCCTCATCATCATCATCAGCATCAGCATCAACATCATTGTCATAAGCCAGGCCAAAAACTGAAAGGCAATCCCACTAATGGACAGGCCAACCGCATATGCATTGCCATAGAAACACACAGTGTAAGAGAGAGAGAGAGAGAGAGGCAGAGAGAGCGAGAGAGAGGGGAAGAGTGACAGCTAGCTAGAGCCAGACTATGAAACTGACTGTGTAACGCTTTTGGGCCACAAGCAAATGGCCGGCCAAGTGTCTAAAATGTGTTATTAATGCCGCTTTGTGCTGCGAAATGCAAAAGGGCAACTTGACTATAACTATGGCTTGGCGTGGCTAGGCTTGGTTTTGCCTGGCCTGGCCTGGTCTGGTCTGGCTTGGACATAGCCCCTACTTCTGCCACTGCCTCAGTCTCTCCCCCTCTCGGAGTCTGTGCCTGTCTCTGGCTCTGCCTCTGTTTCTGTCCCAGCTTTAGACCCATTCGACAGTGTTTGCGTCTGTCTGCGCATCGAATGCAATCTGCAACGCTTCGAGCTGTGTTTTTTTTTTGGTTTTTTATTTTTTGGCCACGCAGCCGCCGCCGCGAAAAAAGAGGCCGCAATTCGCGACGCGTCGCACACCCGACAAAAGCAACAAATTGCATTTGCTTATGGAATGTGGGAAATGTGGCAGCAAAACCTACAACTAACCTGAAACTTCAATGGAATATAGAAGTAAACATTGAATTTGTTATTGAAATAATTGCTATAAACAGCTAAAAGACATCGTTGTAATTTAGCTACAACTCTTAGCAGAAAATATTGATTATGTGATAATGCCCAATGTAAATTCATAAGAATAATATGAATTGCATTGAATAAGCAATATTTTTTTCTTCTCTTTTTTTTAATATATTTTTAGTATAAAAATGAATGATTTTGAGCATTTTGTATAACTGTAGTTTGCTGTAAAATCAAATCTTTGAAGAGAGAATATGGTAAAACGGAATTGAAAACTTTTGTCGGCTTCTTAAAGGCTAAGAAAAAATGCTTTTCAGCTTTGGTGTGATTTTAAAAAATCGATCATGAAATTAACTTTTGTGTCATCGGTTCGTGTGTGTGTGTGCGAGTGTGTGTGCGAGTGTGTAAAATGAAAAAGTTATGCTTAATTTGTTTCAGCTAAAACGAACAGTTTTTTTTCTCTCAGTCTTTTTTCTGTATAGG